ACTGCGACTGCGACTGCGACTGCGACTGCGGCATCGTTTTGTAAATTCGGCATTCGTTTCGTCGGCTTCCAGCATTGGGCTCTGCATCGCTCCGACTGTCTCTCATCGCTTGCATATCCTTTTGGCTCGGCCTCAAATTACATCTACGCCACCCACCTTCACTACCGATCGCCCCCATCGCAACCCCAACAAGGCCACGCCCTAGTGCATTCGCCCTCTTGCAACATCCTCACATCTTGGCATATATAGTCATCACTGCATTCGCATCGCCACCGACTCGATAGCACGCTTGCGGCATTTAGCATACCTCCGGTGCATCTCACCTCCACATCGAGTCTCGCCACCGATCGCAAGGCTTAGGCTCAGCAACCCACCCGTTCTCGCAACTGCAGCATCGTTTCTGCCCACCTTTTACTTCGGGAGTGCTGGTGCCCCTCATCTCGGCTCAACAGGAGCCTCTCTGTCTGCGTGCAAAGCAGCCGCGGACCTTCGCCTCTCGGGCACTGAGCTTGCGAGCCGCACCTGCTCAACGCCGGTAGGATCGGACGTTTAACTCCGGCGCTTACCACGAACAACTCAACTACAAATGTCGGACCTCAGTGATGACTACCTCCTCGACGATGATGTCGAGGATACCATGGACGAGGACTCGGTCTACGGCGACTACGACCAGGGCGTCGACGACTCGGAAGAAGAGCAGGACGACGACCTAGGCTTCGGCGTCGCCGAGGACGCATTTGCCGTTGGCGACACGGCTGCCGAGCGCTCCAAGAGCTACCAAGTCGAGTACAAGTCACACACGATCGGGTCGATCGAACAAGCGCAGCAGAAAGAGGTCGAGCACGTCGCCAGCATGTTCATGATCAAGGACACTGATGCCGCCATCCTGCTTCGCCACTTTGGCTGGAACAAAGAGCGTCTCATCGAGCGCTTCATGGACTCGCCCGATAAGGTGAACCTCGAGGCGGGCGTGCACGACGACCCAGCGCGGCCGAAGCTTCAGAAGCTGCCCGACTTTACGTGCGAGATCTGCTACATGAGCTCCGACGACTCGCCCGACGGCCAAATGGAGACGCTGGCGCTCGCGTGCGGCCACCGCTACTGCCGCGACTGCTACCAGCACTATCTGGAGCAGAAGATTCGCGCCGAGGGCGAGTCGAGGCGCGTGCAGTGCATGCGCGAAAAGTGCAACCTGGTGATTGACGAACGCACCGTCGGACTCGTAGTGGTGCCGGAGGTGTTTGAACGCTACAAGATCCTGCTCAACCGCACCTACGTCGACGACAGCAACGTGCTCCGATGGTGCCCGGCGCCCAACTGCGAACTGGCGGTGGAGTGCCATGTGTCGAACAAGATGCTCAACAAGGTCGTGCCTTCGGTGCGATGCGACTGCGGCCATGCATTTTGCTTTGGATGCGGCAATGCGGCGCATGCGCCGGCCATCTGTCCGATCGCCAAGCTGTGGCTCAAGAAGTGCGAAGACGACAGCGAGACGGCCAACTGGATCTCGGCCAACACCAAGGAGTGCCCCAAGTGCAACTCGACGATCGAGAAGAACGGTGGCTGCAACCACATGACCTGTCGCAAGTGCAAGTACGAGTGGTGCTGGATTTGCGCGGGGCCGTGGTCGGAGCACGGCAACTCGTGGTACAACTGCAATCGATTCGACGAAAAGAGCGGCGCCGAGGCGCGCGACTCGCAGGCCAAATCGCGGGCGCAGCTGGAGCGCTACCTGCACTACTTTAACCGCTTTGCGAACCACGAGCAGTCGGCGAAGCTGGACCGCGACCTGTACGGGCGCACGGAGAAGAAGATGGAGGAGATGCAGCTGACGACGGATCTGACGTGGATCGAGGTGCAGTTTCTCAAGAAGGCGGTGGACGAGCTGTGCGAGTGCCGCATGACGCTCAAGTGGACGTACTGCATGGCGTACTATCTGGCGCGCAACAACATGACGGAGCTGTTCGAGGACAACCAGCGCGACCTGGAAAAGGCGGTGGAGGATCTGTCGGAGCAGCTCGAGAAGCCGATCGAGCCCAAGACGATCCCCGAGCTGCGGCAGAAGGTGACGGACCTCACGGTGTACGTGCAGAAGCGCCGTGGCATCCTGCTGTCCGACACCGCCGAGGGCTTCCAAGAGGACCGCTGGTCGTGGAACGTGACCTTCTGAACACGTCCAGCCCCAGCTCAATGGCCGAACTTTGCTGGGCCTTTCCTTGACTCTCGTCGCACCGTTTCGCAACCTGCATGCATATTCCCCTCGCCGCAACCACCTTCCCGTTTCATCAGCAGTATACCTCCACAGTCTCGCGCCTAGTTCCCCGTTCGTCGGTCCACGTGTATTCCAAGTCCTTCTCACACACGCATTCTGTCTGCACGAATTCGAGCCATGTTCATCCCCAGCTTAGGCGAGTTTGGTAACCGATCGGTTTTGACGGTGCTTGTTTGCTCCGATGGCTGAAGCGCATTGCATGAATGTGTCATGCTGAACAAGGCGTGCTCATTGAATAGCGAGGTGTAAAGGAATGGTCGGGGGCAAGGGTTGGCGGGATTTGTGGCTTGGCTTTGCGCATACTGTGACCAACGGATCGGGATGGCCCCGATCTAGATCGTCACGGCGGATGTGGCCGAAGGGGAAAAAAATGGAGATGAACCGCGGCGGTTTGATTGGCCCTGCGGAGTTCGCATTTTTAGCAAACCGGCGGATTTTAACGGAACTTTTTTTTTTCCCCAAGTGGCAAGAAATTCGCACTATGACAGCTTGGCCATCTTTGGTCCATCATAGTGATTGCACTGGTTTGATTGAACGCTCGACCATACAGTAGTCAGAGTGGTGCACAGGAGAGCTGGACGTATGTACGCGACAAACGGAGAAAGGGAATAGCAGGCGGGCGGGTTTTGCCAAGACCGCAGATTTGCAAAAAGGGTCTGTCGGCTCAGATGTTTGACAGCTCCACCGGGCAATTTTTTTTTCTCCTGCTCGCCAGACCATCCGCGACATACGCATTGAATCCAACATTCGCAGCGCATGGCGCAATCCAGGCGGGCGCCACCGAGACTTCATTGCTCGAATCGATTGCAACCGTGCGCTTCATAGGCTTTCGAGATGAAAAGCCGGTGGAGCGCAGAAGACGAGGCGAGGCAGGCTCGGAAAGTTGCCGGATGCCTCGAAAGTTTGCAGTGGATTTTTTTCGGGTCCAGCCCGAAGCTTGGGCGGGCGATGCGCCAAATTCGAAACGGAAGGGCGTTGCCATTGGACCGAAATGTCGTGATCCACAGGAGATGCATGGCCACAACTGTCGCCCACACCCAGTTCCTGAACCAATCGCAGTTCATTCCGTTCGTCGCAGCGACCCTTTGCAAATGAAGTTCGCCCTTTGCGAGCCCGTCTGAGAAGCGGGACGGCTCTCGCCCCCCACTCCATTTGGCTTTGCTGATGCGCAGAGGCGCATGGTGCAATGGCGCCATCGCCGTCAGGGCGAGGTTCGGAAGTGCAAGAAGCGAATCACGTTAATGCCCGCTTTTGCCATTCATACGCCATGTGGGACACCGAGCGAGACCTGTCCAGTCCGGTTCCTGTAGAGCTCACGACCGTCGGTGCACGAATAAAATAGATCCCTCCTCCCTTCCCCATACGTCTTTCTTCTCCCTCACCACCTCTACGTACCTTTCCCCCCTCTCCAAGGATCTGTCAGTCACTCTGCGACTCGTCAGGAGGAGATCACCCATCACCATGTCGTCCGCTAAGCAGTCGTTCGAAAACGACGGCATCGCCACCGTCAGCAAGTCCTACCCAGCCACCCAGGCTGCCGCCACCGACAACGGCGATGCTTCCAAGACCGCGTCGATCAACGCAGGCGATGAGGCCAAGTCTAGCCGC